TAAACCATTTTTATCTTTACAAGCCCCTTAACTTTGGGATATAAGCAAATTAATCCTTTGTTAATGCTTTCGCTACTACTCGTTTAAAAATCTGATCATGCCAATCAAAGGAAATAGTTAAATCATAGTAGTGCTTATACTTTTCAAATTTTAAATAAAATTAATCCCTACACTTAAACAAGCTTTACTAAAAAATTTAAAACAAAAAAAAAGGTATCAATCCTGTTAGCAGACATTCCAAAACCCCACCATGGTTTTCATCTTTCAAGAAATCCATTAAACATCATTTTCCAAATTTCTCCCCAACTCATCCCAAAATCAAAATAAAAAATTAAAAAGGCAAAAAAATCAAGATATATATTTTCAACATTAATAACCTTGTTTTTTCTAATGCAAGCACGTATAATTTTGTATTGATCTAATTGTAAGAGGAAGAAACCTTTAAAGCTGAAATGAAATCTATTTATGAATTAGATAAGGATAAAATTTTAGATATACTTTAAATCAATTTTAGTTCTTAAAGATTTTTTAATTAGGGGGCAAAAAAAAATAGTTATGCTTAGCTTCTTGCCTGCATAGACCGATAATGTGCAAATGAAATTCAATTGTAACTCTCAATTATTTCATTCATTTATTTAATAATTAAATCTAAAATTCTATTTATTTTTACAATTTATTAATATTTTAATTAGAGAAAATTTATCCCACAGGTTACATTTCGAGAGAGTTTAATTTAATGGTTAGCTTATTAACTATTAGTTTAATTTTATTTTTAGTTTAAAAAGTAGTTTTCATTTTAAACAGCTTGTAAACTTTGTAAAATATTTTAGAATAGTTTACTGAATAATTAAAATTTCAATTAGTTTTAATAAAAAATGATAGAAAAGTTAGATTAAAATTCAAATAGAGTAGTCTTAGTCAGTAAAGCAATTCATGACAAACTGTGTAAATTATTAAAATATATTGATAATTGTGATTTTTGCTACAAAAGAAAATTGTCAAAAGGGAAAATTAAAGTAGCATACGATAAAAGTTATATTTTCTTAAACAGTGAAAATAAACTTATTATCCTCACAAAATTAGTTTTATTTCAAAATTATTTTTAACAAGTAAAAATTCACAAAAAAATATAATTGAAAATCAATTTGATCAAACGAAATAAAATTGCTATTAGTAAGTTAATAGATTAGATTAAAGTGAAATAAAGATAAAAGATAA